GTTTTTGGAGAATGGTACCACGTTAGGTTGAGGCAGCACCGCATGAGCATAATTTGAAGAATAATTAAGGTCGGGTAAATGTTGATTTGACAAGTGGGACCCACACCTACATCATCAATGCCTGCCTACGTGCTACCCTAATCCCCTACAACCACTCACATTGTAACATATTGTCCCCCATCATCATCATCATTCATCCGCATCTCAACGCTCACCGATGCTCCTCAGATTACATATTCAATTTAAAAGAAACAAAACGCCAGAGAAGTATGTCGTTCCAGAGGCGAATCTACACGTGGCGAACAATTATTGGAAGGCACAAGGGGGCAGTGTTCGAGTGGGGCCCGTCGAAAAGGAGCATCATCCGCCGTCCATCTGTCAATCAATCTTTTCGATGTGTTATAATAATAGGGAATAGGAGTGCATGATGGCACGCATTTCCGCTTCACCACTTGCCTTAATTCCAAACACCAAAAATGTATTGAGATCCACACCCTCCAATTCCCCCTATTTCATTTTTCTGTCCCCAATTTTTCAATTTATTCCCATCTCCACCCCCTTTTTCTTTTTTATTTACTCTATTACCCTTTTGCAATCCCATCGCCATCGCCCATCCCGACACTTTTGATAATTTTATTTTACTCTTTTTTTTTAATTTAGTAGAATGTAATGTATAACGTTTTTCGAATGGGCTTTTAATTCTGGTATATTGATGAACATTTGATTGCTCGGGTTAAAAAATTAGGATATGGTGTATTTTATTGGAGTATTTTATTCGAATTTCCGTGTTAGTGATGGGGCCTTGTTTTAATAAACAAGAAAATGTTGAATAAATACAAAGATTTCGAAAAAATAAAAAATATATATATAATGAGTAATGATGTGTGGACATTGGATCTACTATTGAGAAGGTTATTTTGTTGCGACATTCTATAAGCTTAGAACTTTAAAATTTGTGTTTTCAATGACTGTGAGAGTTTAAATCCTTGAAAATAGGGAGTTAGTGGGTCTTGATTTGATTGTGGTTAAAACTGTTGAGGTAAAAAAAAAAAGGAGTTAAATCGATACAATTTATTTTTTTGGGAAATTGGTCCAACTTCCCAATAAAAACTTATCGAAATCAATCAATTATTAAAGATCAAAACTAAAGTAAATTGATGAAATTTATCACAACTAAACCCATGGTTTTTTAGTGTTTAGTTATGTAAAATGGAATCGACCAAAATTTATTATTCAAATCAACTCAATTTGATCTGTTCTTGTTGGCCTTTTCAATTTGATTTTTTCAACACTAAGAATAAATATTTTTTTAAAAAGAGAAAAGGGAGGAGTAATTTGGGGGAGGAAGGTTGAAAAAAAGCGCGGGGGAAGGAAAGAGTATTTTTGTGGAGAGATGGGTAGGACATTACGTGGCAAATTAAATGGCGGGTAGCGGAGGTGGGCCCGGGGTCACGAGCGTCCGACCTGGAAAGCATGTTCAGGTGGGCCCATCCAAAAGGAAAGGGCGGTTACAATTCCAAAAGCCGAAATCGGAAGGGGCTGAATTCGGGAAAGCCACGCCAGCATAAAACTGCCGTTTCGTGGGGCCCCCTATGATCTACGATTTTCATCAACGGTCAGGATCGCATTTGGTGGGCAGTGGGTCCCCCACACAAGCCACCGGCCTACGCTTCTGTTTCCCATCTTTTGCCTCGTCAGCAACCACATCAATCACACCCATCGTCTATTTCCCTTTCTAATTCATCAACCTAATTAATACCATTTATTACCTCAATTTTTAGTTCTAAAAAAAAAACCTATTTCTTTTCTTTTTTTTAATCCGACAATCCATTGATAAAATGAAGTAAATATTAGATGACATTATTTGTAAGTTAAATTATAATAGTCCTTAATAAATTCCTCAAAAGATTCCAGACCTATTTGAAAATTTGAAAATTCATAAATTTTTCAGATCATGTCTAATAAACTTTAACCTTTCAATGTTGTGTCTATAAATTTTAAGATATATCTAATAGATTAAGAATTTATTAAACAAAGTTGAGAAGTGGGGATGGTTAATTAAGTGTTTTAAAATGAAATTAAAGTACAGGGAGACAAAATTAATGTCCTTTCCCTTTGCGAAGAGAAAAAATTAATGTCCTTTAAAAAATGTCAGCTGAATGAGGTGGCGAATTGCTGAAGATTCTTTGGATGCCTCAGCCTCATGCTCTCTTTCTTCTTTCCCAAACCTCATTATATTTTATTGCATTCCACTGTTTTTCTTACACCTATATAAACCCTCTCAGCTACTTGTTTCAATCAACTCGCTCAATATTTTAGTTTGCTCAAAACTCATCTGGGTTTTTTTTTTGGTTTCTTAATTCTTTTCCTCAGTTTCTTTCCCAGCTCTTCATTTTCCCAAATGGCCACCGTTGAGGTAATTCAAGCTTTTATGGCCTTTTGCTCATGGTTTTGGATTGAGTTCCATAGTATTTAATGGAGATCAAAACTCTTCAAACTCTTATATTTCTCTCTTGATACTCTCTCCCTCTTTCTCTCTTCCAATTGTACATCACGTACAAATGTTTGTATGTGTGTCATCTGTATTGAATCATATTCTACTAGCAAAAGAAAGAACAAACCAATGGCATTTTCAATATCCATATGGCTCTTTGACGGAATTCGGAGTATTATGAGTACACATATTGGATATGATAATTGAAAATTGATCATCAAGTTTACCAAGATTATTGTAATTGGATTTTGTCAATTTCTAAGGAGCAACTTATAATCTATTGTGTGATCTGGGTCTTGCAGGTTGAATCAGCCCCCGTAGTATTGCCAGAGACCGAGGCCGTTCAGGTGGCCAAATTTGATGAGAAAGTGGGTGAAGCCCCTGCACCAGAGCCCGTAGCTGCTACAGAAAAGCCTGAGGAAGAAGTCGCACCAGAAACCACGGAAGCAGAGAAGCCTGCCCCCGTTGCTGCTGAACCTGATGTCGAAACCAAGGAGGAGGTGGTGGTAGAGGAAGAAGCCAAGGTTGAGGCCGAGGTGGCAGAACCTGCAGCTGCAGCTTCCGAGCCCGAGGTCGAGACCAAGGAGGAAGCTGCAGTGGAAGCAGAAGAGCCAGTGGAGGAGAAAAAAGAAGAAGAAACCCAGGGAGAGAAAGCTGAAGCTGCTGTTGAGGAGAGCTCAGAGGAGAAAGAGGTAGCTCCAGCCCCAACAGAGGAAGAGAAGGCAGCAGAGGAGAGCACCCCTGAGAAGGCCGAGGAATGAAGAGGCAATGTTTGTGAAGCAAGAGAAGGGAATGTAGTATGTTAAGAGTTGGTTGGGCTGTTAGTTTTATTTGTTGTCTGAGTCTTTGTTTCATGGATGGAGGCAAAGGCAAGTCATGAGGGTTGGGAGTTAGAATGGCTATATTTCATAGTGGCACTTCAACTGAGAATTCAAAGGTGCCATATGGGGTATGGAAGTCGGTCCAGAAGAGTCATTTCATTCGCTATTTTGTGTGCTTGAATATGTCATTCTCTAGCTCTGAATAAATCATATTTCATGTTTCAACCGTTCCTTCTCTAACAACATAACATAAGTTCTAATTTCTATCGCTCTAAATATAGTTCAATTGGTCCAAGTGATCCAGCATTAATGTCTGGTAGATTTGAATAAATACTTTTTTTTCTTCGATCCATGGAGTAACCAAGAATAACCAGCTACACAAAGCAATCTGTTTCGAGTGGGAGGGGACATTCTGAACTCTTTTTAGGATAACATTTTCAGCTTTGTTTTTTGGACTTAGTTTTGTACGGTTTGAAAAGCTTCCAATCTAATATAAATCACCAATCATGTCCGATGTAATATAAAGCAATAAATCACCAATCCTAACATAATTCGATAGATAAAGGATCTACTACTTTCGTCACAATTGAAGGTTCGATCCCCACCAGCTCCAAGGGACAATCTCGTCGGCAAGGGTATGGGATCTCTTGGTTAACACTTACTAAGAATTCTCATGTTCAAACCTCCTAGATGAACTTAATACAAAAGGTGTTTGATGTCTTTGGGGTCTAGGTCTTGGACGGGTGCAACTGCCAGGAGTAAGCTAAAGGTTGGATCCCCACCATTGTTGAATTAAAATAACTAAAAAAATGAAGTTGACCAACATAAATTGCTGGATGGACTTATGATAAAAAAATGTGGAGATAATGGGATTGGATCTATACTCAACTTCAATAAACTTGTGAACACTTATAGTTACACTTACAGTTAAGTTTCAGTTGTAACTAATACAAAGAAGTTCATATAGAGGTAGAGAAAATTTTCCCTTTTCTCTAGCACAAATTTGAGCATTACAGAAGCAGTAATAACATTTTCTTAAAAACTAACTAGGACTATAGAACCTTACAAGTTACAATAGAGTTTGATTACAAAACACGGGTATAGCATTCTCATCTGTTCCCTTTCAAAGGGGAAAAAAAAAGCATTCTTATCTGTGGACTCTGTACAAGGCAAGAACAAAAATATGTGCAGACAACAATACCATCAATTCACTGGACTGGAAAACCCATAGGCAAGCGAGAGATTACCACGTACCAAAGCTGCATCCAACGTGCTCCTGAGTGATAATTTGAAGACGACTTTTCATGATAGCCTTGGAAGGATAAGGAGGGAAACACAACCGGAAAAAGCACGTATGAGAAGAAGGAAGATAATCATATGGAGATGAAGATTTGTAAATGTAAAGCTTTGAAGCCAAGCCACTAAAACCCTGGACTGGTAGGTACTTCACTGAAGTCCAGAAAAACAAAAGGTTCTTTCTCTGCTCCAGTGTCATCCCGTACACAATCTGCCAATGAAAATAGAAAGTTTATCTTCTGACGAGGTATTAGGTAATGTACTTGCAAATTGAGAAATTGAGATGAAATCTTCATAGGAATCTCAATTTTATTTGTGTCAATAATCCATCCAATTTTCATTCGTTTGCATTGTTCTGAAAGATGATACATAAATGCAAAAAGTTTGAAATGAATGGTAAATCAACTAATTGTTAAGTTATGGTAAGGAACAGCAGGCAAACGTGCAACAAATGACAAAGCAACTAAAAACCATTCTAGAAATGTTTACCTTCCAGAACCAGGATATCTGAGGATCAGTTTCTTTGTAGCCATTGTACTCGGTGTGCACCTTCCAATCTCCAACAGAGATTGCACTTTCACTCCCATATAGCATCCAATCAAGATCTTCAATCTCTAGGCTCTGGAAAAAGTGTGTGTGCACTCTTTGGTCAGAAAGTACATCAGTAAAACCGCTTGCAAAACATGATACCTGCTCAGAGACAGATCTCACAAAGCGGTTCTCTACTAGAAGCTTAACATATTCCTTCCGATTCTTACTATTAACAACCATGTTTTTGCCTCCGGGGCAAAGATCCACAACTTTTCTTATTCCTAGCTCCTCAAAGTCACTAACAAATGTGAGTCCTAAAGCATCTGAATCAACAAACTCAGCGTCCATATCAAGAATCTGCTTGCAGCTAGTATACAAGTATGGGTCGGCATCTCTTATATCTTCCAAGGAGATGGAGATTCCAGACAATTGCAAGAAAAATACACGATCAAAGACAATACCAACTTGCACTTTATGCATCAAAGCTAGTGCAATAACTCGGCCAGAAAAATTGAAATATTTGAGATGCAGAGGGTCCACCTTTGAAGCTGCAACATGTAATCATTACTGGTAGAAATAAGAATAGTTTGCATCCAATGTTTGTATCACACAATTTAATTAATGCAACCTAACTAAGTAGAAGCACGACGCAATTGAGCAACTTAACCTTGAGTCTCAGATGAAAATATAAATGCTACTACTTCCCACACACTTTATATTGCTGTGGACCGTGGAGAACTGTTTTTATTTCTTATTGATTTAGATTAATTATTAACCAAGAATAATTTTCAAACTTTTAATTCTTCAGTTCTACTAGTAATTAACACCTGCTTTATGACTGGGAATAAAAGATACTATCTGATAGCACGGCAGTTTAGTGTGGGGGAATAGGTACTAGTTGGGAGAAACAGCAGATCATCAAATCTCTGCTAGAGTTTCACTTCTTTTGCTTTTTCATAATGAAACCTTTCGACCAAAGTTGATCTTTTGGAACCTTTCATTGGAAGGAGATATCTAATCTCTTTGCCTCTAGTTGTATCTTCTTTGATCTTTTGGAACAAAATCAGAGGGTCCCTCCAAAGAGAGGGGAAAAGAAAAAACCTTTCAATCAAGTTCATTTTCAATCACTTTACCTAAGATCATAAAATTTTCCAATGTTTGAGGATTAATGACTTAAATCTAAGAAAGGGGATTCATAAGATACATCAGACAAATATTCAGTTTTCTGGTTTTTTTTATTATTGGCTTTCCCCCTATTTGAATAGTGCCTGAGAATCTCTTTCAGATCCCACAGCCACCAAATCCTAATAATAAGGGCTCTAAATCTCACATGTAATAATACAATGTGTCCCTATAAAGTTCCTAAATCATTGTGTGGCTTGACCAATTCATCTAGCGCCAAAATTACATTTGAAGATTAAATGTTGTAGTGACCAAAAGGCCAACAGCAAGCTGTCTGCAATCAACAACTTTCTAGATTAAAAAAAAAACAATGCTGTGAGTGACATCAAAACTTGCTCATGCGCACAATTGATTAAAAAAAATTTATCTGATGGATTGTGGATAACTTTAATATATAATTCACATAAATGAACCTATATATTCCATTGGTATGGTTGAAAATATCAGTTAAATATTCACTTGGCTAGCTGCCATACTTAGCAAAAACAACTCTAAATAGCGTCGCTCTTATTTACTCGAGCAAAATGGAATCTAAATGCATCTTACGTGGCAGGTTTCCCACTTTGGTGGATGACAAAAATATACTAGGACTAATTAAAAGTGAAAAACATTTAGGCACTTCCTGGCATTCAAGGTCACTTATTTGCATCAGGAAGAAGAAGCATTAAATAAAACAAAGTACCAAAGGAAGCAGCAGTAAGCTCACCAGGGTTGGGAAAGAACCTTCTTCGATCATTGGGACATGCAACAAAAAGTGCATTTTGTGGGTTAAAAATAGCCTGGCAGACCAGAAAAAACCACTCCCGCAAGACACCGGGACCCGTCGCTTCCTCATTCTTGAATTCCATAAACAATCCATGGCGTAGAGCCTCAACATTTGCATGTGTGATGTACTCGAATGATTCTTCCAACAATTGAGACCTATCAATCAGCATTTCTTGCAACTCGTCGTAATCTTCTGTTGGCTCTGGAAACATAAGCATTGTCAAATGCCTTCGAGATTCAGAATTTGTTACTTCCTTGTGTTGAAGAATCCACATGTGGTTATCAGCTCGCTTAGCAAATCTAATGAGAAGTGCACAAATCGAATTTTTCCTGGGCCTCATGGTTGCCCAAAATTCTTCTTCAGCACCCTGGAAAAGAAGGGAAATACTATTCAATTCCTTTAAAATTGGAAGATACTGAGACCATCCTGCATAGAGGTTTGCACAGTCCCTATTTCCTTTATCAACCAAGAAAGCTTCCATTCCTTGAAGGCATATATCCATCTTTTTCAACAAACTTTGATATATATTATGAAGAAATTCGCCTTCTTCTCCATAAGAAGGATCCCTAAAACTTCCCCTGTACGGCGGCAAAAACTTGGAACCTAGAAAACCCAGTTGATCCATAACCGCACTGCGCAAAGGAAGCAAAAATGCTGTAAAGTCACGAATATCAGTTACCGAAGGCCCTGCACTTGTGGGAGAACGCATACTTGAAGACAAGTCTATGGACAATTTATTGGCCAGCTCATTAACAAATGGAAAAAGTTCGGGTGTTTTGATGGGTCCCCTGACACTTTCTAAGCATCTCATCCCTCGAGAAATTCCCTCGGTTCCCAACAGTGAGCCGAGAGTACTCCGGCATAAACTGTATAAACTGCCCTCCGGAGTATCTCTCCTAAGTAAATTGCAAAACTCTAATACTATAATCGCACCACAATCATGTAAAGACTTGGGAACTGAGTGGCGAAGCAAATCCATAAAATGCTTAATCAATTTATCAGCACACTCTTTGTTACCTTTAATTTTAGACAGATGAAGCATCACTAACGCAGCTGGGGCAGAAAGGGACAGGAAAACCTGAAGTTGCTTGACTCCTGAATCTAAGTCGGTGTCCGTAGCCAAACCTAAGAATTCGGTCATCAAGGTTGTGATAACTTCCAAAGCAGAAAACACAAATTCGCCTCTATAGAGACGCAGCACCGATGAAACCATATCGTCAACAATCTGCCAAGCTTTGGGATGCTCCGTGCTTCTCATTCGACCAACTAATTGCAACTCAGCGTTATTCTGTATCGAACACTCGAGGAGTGACTGTTCATGCTGGAGCTGCCTTCCTCTATATATCAACCTTTGCTCGAAAACTGGTATACGCGTAATACCTTGAATCCGCTCATGTAGCGACATCACAGTATCGTTAATATTGGCAAGCATTACCATAGTATTCCCCTCGGAGATGGTTCTAACAAAAAATTGCAACTCGTACGGAGACAGAATGGGCTTTTGCGGGGTTTCTGCCGCCATAGAGTTCGGCCGAGTATCAAAATCCCGATGCTCACAGTCGATGCTGTTTCCCTCACCCAGCCGGCCGTCAGATGAGGAGTCGATCGCACACGTTTCACCCTTCTTCATTCTAACAGAAACTAAGTCAAACAACTGAACGTCCTCGTCCTCGTCGTCGAAATTGGGACCATAGTCATCTAACTTGCGCTTGGACGAAACGCAAGGATGACGGTGGCCCTGAGAATGGTGCCGATTGAGTTGACAGTGATCGGCGGCAGGGTATACGGCGGCGGTGGTGCTATTGATGTGGACGCGATCAACGGTGGCAGGAAATTCGGCGATAGACATTGACGGTGGGCCACCCACCACCAAGGAAAAGGAATGTGAAGCTTAAAGGCGCGAGCACATGGAAAGATTCCCAGGCGGGGAAGAGAAACTCCGGTAGCGACGATCGATGAAGAACGGAGAGTGTAAACGGAAGAGGAAGAAAATTGGAGTCGTTCACGTCACAGCCGTCATCACCAACCACTGCCAATTTTCTGCTAATTATTATAATTACAAACTTTCCAATTCAGAAGCGGATAATGCTTTCCTGCGCAAGTTGCAGCAAAATTTCCTGTAACGTATCTCAACTGTGTACCTGTATGGCCCCGATCTCTCCACGTCAGCAGCATACGTTCATCACCCCTGGTAAAGAACCGCCCGGATTTTAATTCACTCTTAAATCGGTTTAGTTTATATAAAAGTAGAGAAAAATCACCTATACAATAATCCCAAAGGTTTTGAATTACCCTCTATCAACAATGTGAACTCTTGAGTTCTGTTTTTTTGAGACTAGAGAAATTAAATCTTTTAATTATTTAGAAAGGTAAATTTAGGTAACGCAAATAGGGTTTCGAGGCCTAGAATAACTAATTCACATTTTATAATCATTTTCATATTGTTGTTGGTCTCATACTACTCAAATCAATCTCCTTTGAAACAATATTAATCGAAGTCAAATGATACGCTTTTATTTATATATTTATATGATTGATTGAATCTATTTAACATGAATTTAATCGAAGCTAAAAGATATGCCTTTTAAGTTTAAAAACGTGAATTTAAATACTCCAATACCTATATAATATATTCATCCAGTTCAAAATGTAAATTAAGATTATTTGACAGGACATGGGATCTAATATTAACTTAGGTAACTATTTAAATTATTTAAAGTGGTGATTACCGCCCCTCTCGCTCCGGTCTAATAACATATTTAATAGCAAATGTTTTATATACTATTAGATTAACACGAAAGTTAAACACTCATTTTCTTACTACCACGAAACTTTCATTTAATTCAATTATACGAAGGAAAAAAAAGGTTATCAACGTTACAATGAGAAAAGCTTAAACTCAAACATATGGGTATTTTCATTCAAAAAACAAAAAAAAGAAAAAGTGAAACTGTAATTAAGTTCTATAATTATAGTTTTGTTTGATTTTTAAGTTATTTTTTAGACGAGGATATATATTTTAATAAGTTTATTTATACCGAAAATGATGAGTGGACTTAACTTATGATCACATATATGATATATTATAAAATAAATTTGAGAAGAAGAAAAAACAACACTCCATTATCGAGGTTACTTAAAGAAAGCGAAGTATATTTATCGTAAAAAATTTCGTGGCGGTATAAATTTGTTTTGTGTAGAATAAAATAGTATCCATCGGGAGGAATGATTAATAAAATAATAAATAAAATGTATCTTAATATATGTATATAAATTAAATGTCACCCTCATGGCTGCAGGGTTGTTATAATCGCGGATAATTTTTTAATTGCTAAAGCAGTAATAGACTCCTAATGTGCCGGTCAAAATTATAAAATAGTACTTAATATCAGCAAATGTGAATTATGTTCAACTAATTATAAGTAATTAAAATATTTATCTTCTGACCAAAATTTATGAACAAATTTAGCCCTAATTGACACTTAACCAAAAAATGATGAGTTATTCCACCCTATATGTTATTATTATTAAAAAATGTATGAGTTCGAATTCTCATTCTCACAGGTTATTATATTAAAAGAAAAAAATATATATAAAACCGACCATTTATTTTAAATTTGAGTCACTTTATTTTACTTTAGTTAAATTTATTAATATTGAACAAATTAATATTAATTTCTATCAACATGGTCCACTAGCAGCAAAAATGTGGTTGAAGATTCAAATTTCCAAACTCTCAAATTTGATGTATGGGTGTATGTATTATATATACAATAAAATATTTTTTTAGTAAAATTATACAATACATTAACTAAACACATCTAGCTAACCTCGACAGATTAAGGTTCGTGTTAAAAAAATAATAATAATGAACACATCTAACCAAGTTAAAACATAAGTAACTATTCTATACAATAAAAACAAACACCTGATTTCTATTTCAGCCATCTCAGAAATATTTCAATTTAGTCCAAATTTCATATGGAATAATTAGTATAATTAACCTCATCTTAGCTCAGTTCATTAAGACGATCAAAACATCGTGGTTCTTTCCCCACTTCAATAGGTTTGTATTAAAAAAAAATATATTTAATGGGGAAAGGAGGATCAGTGATCACATTCGAGGTGAGGATTGCAATCTTTGTTACCGTCCCTAAAATCAAAATTTTCCCTTGTCCCAGCGCCCATTGAAAACTGGAAATCGCTGCCTCGTTCATGGTGAGTTCCCACAGTACCCATTCTCATCAAAAGATTTTCTAATTCGAATTTCAACTCTACAACCGTAATGTAATTTTTAGCGAGTAACTTCAACACAAAATGCATTGTTAAATCAGAAACAAAAGGCCGATTAGTTCTTCTTCTATTTTTAATTTTCAAAGCATATTCGTCCCTTTTTCGGCTACCTTGCTTGTTGCGTACGATGCCCTCCAAATGCATATGCTATGATCATATTCCCTAACGGTTACTCGATTTCAGCATCGCATCCCCACTTCTGATTTCTCCACAAAACATCACACACAATGCCGCCGGAAAATGGTGGGTACTGGATGTGGATTCAATAATATTTCGCCCCTCCATTTCTCAATCTAATACGTTTCACAATTTCAATTCTTCTCTTTTTTTCTATCTTATGATCCCTAATTTTAGATTCGCTTCGGGAGTTCCTTGGCGCTGCGGTGGATGCCGCCAACAAAGCCGGTCAGGTATGTCTTTGCATTCCTTCATTTCCCCATTTCGCTGTCCTTTTGAAAAGTTAATTCAGATTTTTCTCTGGTTTTATCTCAATCTCATACTCGATCATCCCCCCCCCCCCCACCCCCCCGTAGTTAATTCGTGAGAAATTCTATCAAACCAAACATGTGGAACACAAAGGCGAGGTGGATTTGGTCACTGAAACTGATAAGGCTTGTGAAGAACTCATATTCAATCACCTGAAGCAGCGTTACCCATCGAATAAGGTCAGAGTTTCAGTCACGGTTTCTTCTTGGGAAGATTCATTACTTTTAAGTGGTCTGTTGTGATCTTATATGGTTCAGTCGCCCAATGCTTTAGTTCATTGGAGAAGAAACTAGTGCTGCTTATGGTGCTGTGGAGCTGACTGACGAGCCCACATGGATAGTTGATCCCATTGATGGAACCACTAACTTTGTTCACGGGTGCTAATTGATCTTATTCTCTGTGTTTCTCCAATCACATTTCTTATTTATAAAATCTCAACATGTTTTTCAAAATCTTTTCAGGTTTCCCTTTGTCTGTGTCTCAATTGGGTTAACTATTGGCAAAGTTCCAACAGTTGGTGTTGTTTACAATCCAATCATTGAAGAGGTGAGGAAATTTTGGCTCCACAACTTCCAACTTTTTCAACTTGTTAAGTCGAGATATGTACAAACCCAGAAATGCATGATTGTTAGAAAAATATAGCTTAAATTGTACTTCAGTGTCTTAAATTTCACACTTATTCCATTTTAGTCTTTATATGATATATCTAGTTTTATTCAACTGTGTTCTATCATGTGTAGCTTTTTACTGGTGTTCGTGGACAAGGTGCTTATCTTAATGGAAGGCCGATAAAAGGTGAATTTTTGTTATCCTTTAGATTTTACACTTCCAAGTTTAAAAATTAGGCATGGCTAGTTTTGCACCATTAATTATCTTAAAGTTTAGCATTAGCATTTTGTTCTGAAGTTAATATCTACATCTTGCAGTATCCTCCCAAGATGAACTTATCAAATCTCTTCTGGCAACTGAGGTAAAGCTCAGCACCCAAATCAAGATCTTATGGCACTTAAAATTAAACAGAGTGAAAACAGGGTTAAATCACGTATTGTTTTGAAACACCAAGTTATAATACCTTGAGAAACTAATCCAAACTATGGAATGCTGGATGAGCAGAGTGGAACGACACGCGACAAGTCGACAATAGATGCTGTTACTGGCAGAATAAATAGCCTTCTCTCTAAGGTGCAGTAACAGTTTGCTTTTGATCTCATTTGAAAACCTTCTTCTAAATGCAAAATGTGCCAAAGGCTTTGGTTGTTATCATCAGTCTGTGTGTATCATGCCTGTAGGTAAGATCCCTCAGGATTAGCGGATCGTGTGCATTAGATATCTGTGATGTTGCGTGTGGAAGAATCGATCTATTTTATCTAAATGGCTATGGAGGTCCTTGGGACGCAGCTGCTGGTGCTGTAATCGTCACCGAAGCTGGAGGACTTGTCTATGACCCGTAAGTAATCACAATGCCTTTCTTTTTTATGCTGTCTATTGCTTTCTTCAATAGTAGTCACAGAGCTGAGAGAGTTGCCTGTTTATTCTGGTTTTTGATGGTGGGTGGTAATTGCTTCAGATCTGGTAAAGAATTTGACATCACGGCTACCAGAATTGCTGCTTCTAATCCTCTTCTCAAGGAGGTATTTGTTGAAGCTTTGGGACACCCTCAATGAGAAAGCCTGCAATGGCATCGGCATGAGAGGTTTGAATTACTATTTCAAGGCATTCAACATGTTAACATGTTAAAACTAATGCAACCATTGTTAGTTAGATGTAAGCGTAACAATTTGAAAATGGGCTTGGGGATAATAAAGGCCCAGTGGGTTGGAGAATTGGGCTGAGTTAATCCAAGCCCAATAGAATGGAACAAAGGGAAGTGGCTAAAGCTAACTCTTTTTCTTTTTTCTTTTTATATTTTTTTTTCTTTTCTTTCTAGTTCTTGAATCTTGAGTGAGGCTTAGGCTGAGTTTCTTTATGCACCCCATTTCAAACCTTTAATTTGAAAAGCACTCCTTGCGGTGAACTATTTAAATGCTATCTTCTAGAACTATAATGGATTACAATTTAAATTCCAAAGCTAACTTATTTTGGTAAAATTACAAATTAAATTTCAATTTCAGATTAAAATTATATGGCAATTCCTGCCTAATGTAGGTGGCTAGGAACTAGGATGAGATGGAGGTGGGCCCAGATGCCAACCAAGAGAATTATTATGGGTTCTCTTCTTTCCGAAGAGTATAAAAAATACACCATTTATTTTCAAATAAAAATACAATTTGCTACAACCAAGCTTAAAATCTCCTGTTCTCCTTATATTTTCAATACAAATTGAGAATTTTTATATTTTAGTAATATAGGAAGGACCTATCTGATGACATTTCATTTTCTTGTTTCCTCTTTTTAATAAAGAAAAATGGAATTGCATAGTCCCATCATTATGGATTCAAGAATGATGAAACAATATTTTTATTTATGCTTTTTAACAAATTAGAAATTAAAACGAGAAACAAGAAACTTTTTTTTTTGTTGTTTCTAAAAATGCTTTATAATTTTGAGAATGTTTCTAAAAAAATAAATAACATAAATAGTTGGCAAATTCTTATGTTTCTTAATAAAATTTAAAACGAAATAAAAAAGGAGGACGCCACCAGAAAAGCTCGTAATTTTCCTATAATTTGAAGTGGAAGTGGAGTGGGGATTGATATGTCTACCAGAAAAAGTTACTTATATTATTGTTACTTATGCCTCTATTGTAAACAAGTAGAGAGAGTTTAAATGTTGTACTTGAAGAGACATGAATATCTAATTACTTGACAAAAAGATACAATAATTGTACTTGATTTACGGTAAAAGATCATTTCAATCGGGTGAGAATTTTTTTTTTCTTCCCTCTCTTTTGAAACATTAAGGTCTCGTTTACTCACTCTCAATCGTAATGAAAATCATGAAATCAATCGGAATGTGATGTTGTTTATTTGAACATATCTGAAATCAGAATCAAAAACCAATTCATGGTGTTTACTTCCATCTGGTAATCAGATATGCTGATTACCAAAATACCCTTATATATTTATAACTAATATAAAATTACATTAATTAAAAAGGATTTTATGGGATTTTTTATATTGAAAAAAAATAATTACTTATAATAATTTTTAGATATACTTATATTATTTTACTTAATAGTAATAAATTATATATTTTATATTTAAGTCTAATTTTTTTTACACTTTATTTGATATTATTATTATATTATTTATTATAATAAACTTTCTTTTACCAATTCAATCTAAAATTAAATAATTTTATAATACAAAAAAATGTATTGGATCCCACAGATTAAGGAATTTGAATGGGATTATAGAGCTATTTTGCATTGCTCATTCTTTGGGATTCCAAAATATGGGGTGGATCCACGTTTTATTTCCATTCATTTATTTTGATAAACATAATTAAACGTAATGAAAATTTTGATTACGATTACGAGAAGTAATAGGACCTAAATGTGAAGATGGAGATGAAGATGAGAGATCGAAAGTAGGAGTTGGAGCCGTAGAAACAATAAGAATGGATGTTGAATTAAAGTCGAGAGAGAAATATCAATAATTAAATGGAAAAGAAAAAAAGTGAGGTTGACTTTTGGAAGAGAATTAAATGGTAGAAGGAGGGGTTCAACAACTCGACATTAAATGAGAAAGGGGTAGTTATATTTTTGGGGGAATAAAAATAATTACGTGGAAGAGGAACTTTAAAGGGAAAAAAAAAATTACTTACCCACCTGATTCACCGTCTGCTTTACCATTAAAATGAAAAAACAAATAGCACTTATTTTATAATACGTGGACTACCTTAACCTTAGGACTGTTTCAAAGTATAGTTGGTCACGTACTTAGGATTTAATATCCTATGAGTTTTTTTGACAACCAAATGTAGTAAAGTTGAACGTGAGATTCAACCAAAATTAATAAACCAGAAGAACTGGACGAGAGATAAATTAAATAAATAGTTAAGGTGCTTTTGGTGGCCGATGCAAGAAGTTGATAACTATGGATTCATGATCAGAGTTGTATTTGTTACCAACTAAATCTTGTTGAATCTCAAATATTATTAAGATTATGTTATGAGTTTTGTATAACTATTATTTCATAATATTATACAATTTATAATATACTATGTTATAGTACATGTCCTAATTTAAAAAAAAAATAAAAATTAAAGGACTTTATATCATGAAATTGCATGTTTATCAAATTTTTATTTCGATTTTAAATTTTAAATTTAGATATATTGGTAAATAAAAGTGTTGCTTTTTATCTTTTATAGAAACAATTAAATGTTAGGAAAAAAAAAACATAAATGTTATTAAAGAAGTTGAGGAATTGATTGCCAAAACTTTCACGAGACCCATCAATGAATTCTAGAAGTGTTGAAAAATCTAGAACCAAAGTTCCAAAGTGGCATTGAACAAACCAAGACTTTTGGAGCCGTCCATCTGAATGAATAAAGCTTGAATTTACCTACCCAACCTTATATTATGGTCAATCCAAGTGTTTATAAGTAATAAAACAAAATAATTGACCATTTTTTTTTATTTTTAACCAAACCCATAAGCATAAAGTATTTACACGTTAATAAATGTAATGCACCCACGTGGTTGGTTACTTAAATATTGTGTATAGATATTTCCCCAAAATTCGTGTCTAATCATTGCGGGGTGTGGACTACTCCAAACTTAGTATTCTAGATTTTACACTCAACTTTATATTATAAAAAAAAAGTCATAATAATTAAATCCGCGTGATATAAATTAAAGTTTGATAATAAAGGCTCTTACCAAAACTCCCACACTAACTTTAGTTCCTTCCTACAGCTTTTTTCTTCCCTCAAGATCACAAATATATAATATTAGTTTATATTTGTTGAAATAGGTGGTATTTTATGTCAGGATGGATAAATCAATATTTTAATTGACGGCATAGAGGTCCGAATACAAGACCCTTGTTTTGATATCGTATTAAATATGAACAAACCATTAATGAACTCAAATATGGAACGAGTAAATTTAATTCACTTGTTAAAATCTTCGCACATTATTTTCAATATCTTTTAATTTATTTTCTTAAATTCACATTTTCTCTGAAATTTGTTATTTAAAAAACTCATTTTCATGGAAAAATAAAGAAAAAATATATTTTACAAAATTTCAGTGCACCAATGATTGAAAGGCCTACCATTCAAGCTGTATTAAAACAACTACGTCTTATTGATTTCAAAATATTAAAACAAATTATTTTTGGCACTGTACTAAGGTTTGTGGAAGAAAAATATTATGTTTATCATTGTTACACTATAATATAATAGTTATTATGTCTTAATATTGATTGTTTTGAATTTAAAATTCTATTAAAGGAGTCTTCATACATTTCTCTGTAATTATTCAATTTAATTTGAGGATGTGGGTACATTTTTTAATTTTAATAAGAGTGGAGCCAAAAACAAAGGAGTATTACGTTAATCTGTCTTCAATTTTGTAGATCCGAAATATTATATTTTCTATAATTTATATGCATCAAATTTTGGAATGGACAATTTTGGCTGTTAAAAATTAGTATGCTCCACTGCAGTTGTAGAAATTGAAGGTTTATAATAATAATAATAATAATAATAATACAACAGAAATTGAAAGTATTAAAAAAAGGAGACATGGACATTTAATTAAAGAGGAACCCTACCCAACTATTCACTTTGATCATTGACTCTCTATTATATTTAAATTGAAGGCATTAAATGATTTATTTCGATATCTTTGCCAGCAATAAAGAACGGAAAAATGCGAAATCGAGCATAATTGAACTGATTAAGACACATAACTCCATAACTAAAAGATTGTGATTTCAAATCCTTATCCTGCATATTTTACTTGTTGTTTTTTAATACAACTATTTGGTGACATGAGAGATCAAACCCATTAAAATAACTAAGAAATAAAAAACTATACCGAAATGTCCTAGAAAATCCTTTCTAGTTTTTTCCATCTTTTAAAAAATAATAATCTATTTAGAAACTACTTTAATAATTAAAAAAAACTATTTTTAAAAAGAACTTATAAACACTCCTTTTTAAGAAAAACCACAAAATGTAATTCCATACAAAACTTTAAAAAAAAAAACATATTCTGAAATTCACCCATCTAATACTTAAATCAATCAATATATTTAGTTCTCATGTACATACTGCATCGATACATTAGCATACACATTTGAAGTTATTTTTAGTTCACCAGACATGCGAGGAGTTGAACAATTAGTCTTTAAATTATTAATTTTTTTAGGCTCGGTAAAATTCAAATTAAAGCTTAATTATGTAAAAAAAACAATCAAATATCGAGCTTTTGATGTCTTATAAATAAAGAAAAAATATATTATACTTAAGATCGTATATGTCATTACATTTGGAGATAGAACTTACAACCTCATGATTGAATATATGTTAATTATCGTCCAACTATACTTTGAAAATATGTTAAACAATTAAAAATTCAAATAAATTACTCCTTAAATTAAAAGGGGAAGGCTGTATCAGGAGGAAAAACAAAAACAAAACAAAAGTTAAAAGGGGAAGAAATATAACTTTTCAAATTAAAAACATTAATGGATGTTCATTAATTTAACGAGGAGAGCTTGAAATCTGATTTGGCGAATCTGTGGAACGTATACGGTCGAAGAAACGGAGCAGACAGAATCTTAATCTGGTAAATTAAAATTCGATAAATTACAAAAAATGTGTATTAATCACCACGTAATTAAGAGTGATTGACAGCTAAGCATGTTGCCCGATACCATAAGAAAGAACATTAATTAAACCACTTAATTACAATAATTAATTCCACAATGTAGAGTTGGTGCTTGTCTTGTTTTCCTTTTGCTAATCTGAAACGGACACATTTTTTTATTTTATGTCCCTATTGATCATATCATCCATGGAAACGTACCTATTAAGAAAATCATTATTATAGATTAAATAATGCTTAGATATTAACTAGTCAGTACTTGTTTTTTTATCGACCACCATTGAATTTGTTTACGAGTAAGATAGAAATACAAAAAAGTATTTTTATATTTTTATTAAAAAAATATACTACTAGAAATCTAGTAGGATCAATATAAGTACTCATTAATCAGTATTTAAATAGTGTTATTACCAACCCAAACATAAATATTACATTAAATCATATTTATTTTTAGTCTCCTCCTCTATGTCATCAAAATTGATATATGTGGTTTTTTGTGTATTTTTTTTTTAATTTGGCAAACTATCCCCACCTAACCTCTATAGTTTTATATTAATGGTGGAGAAATCTTTATTGATCTTTTGTTTTGGAGTGTAAATGGAAATTAATTTAGTGATTATCTAAAAAAAGGTAATTAATTTAATGGAGGACACGTCACGTATATGCCCTTTGTTGGGAAACCGGCCTTCCCCTCTTGATTTCACCCTCTATTTTATCGGTCTTGAATATTATTTCGGAAACAAAAATAAAGCATATTATAAATATATATGATGTGACACCAAAATAATGAAATATGCATTTAATACATGAAGTGGATATATCTATTCAACAATTTAGAACCCCACCCATATGAAAATAATAAATAGATGTTATACTGTGATCCATATGCTTTGAACTTCTCGTATTTAGTCTAGCCATACAATTTTATTTGATTTTTTTTATTTAACGATTTGCTTGGTAGGGATTGATACACTGACCATAAATCTGGAAGTTTTAGGTGAATAATACAAAATTTAAAAACACTATAAATATTAGGATTAATGTATATATAATACTACTAATGTATGTCAATTCATATACATCTTGATTAATCGAACAGACTCGTGCGTTATATTTATATATTTTTTGTTCTATACAAATCATATTATAGAGCACAAAAAAGATTAGAAATCAGAAGCTTCATGGACGCCGGAAAATACCACTTTTTTTAATGCTTATGAACTTCTTTAAGTGCAATTAGGAAAAAAAAAAGTTTGCCTTATAATATACAAATGATGTATGAATGCTGTGTTTTTCTTTCCCCTTTATTCATTTGCAGTTGCTTTCAATTGAGTTCTTAAAATTATCTCTGACTTAGGGAGTTGGGATAGCTTTTGAACTATTATTTTAATTAACAATAATAATAAAACAAAGTAACAAGTACGTACAGTTTATGAATATTTTTTCTAAAGCATAGTTGTACGATATAGTTATAACAAATAATTAAACAGAAAATACACCTCAGCCACGCGGAAAGTAACTAAAGTACGACCATATTATTTTTTTACCTATTTGATTTCTATATGTGTTGGGAGTTGAGAGAATTTTCCAACAATTATTAATTTGAATTTCAATCATATTATTCGAGGGATTGTTTACAATACGTGTAAAATATTTGCCACATGATAGTATAAATTAGATGTTTATTGTGCAAATAACTCTCTCGAAATAAACGTATAAATTATAATTAGGATCTAAAATAATTAATATATAAACCCGAATTTAGTATGGAGATCAAATAGATCAAATCCGTGCTTAGTGTCACAATCGCACCTTTTCAAAGCAGCTCGAGCGTTTGTGCGGCACTTGCTCTAACTCAAACGAGCAAGTCAGCCGGGAAAAACTGTAAGTTGCGAACAATCTCGGTCGTGGGTCTAGCCTCCGCTCACGTTTTAGGAGAAAATTGGTTTTAGAAAACGTGAGAGAGAAAAAACAGTTGAAAACATCTTTAAAACAAGCATTGTAGATATTGGATGCAAGAAAGCTTTCATTGCAAGAAAGTATACAACACTTGGTCGGGGGAGGTTTGATGACTACTTGGTCCCCCCTAAGGTACATTATAAGGCATTTTTGGTGTGACAGGTGTAGACGTCCTAAGTGGCGAGGAGTCACTCGGTGGCCTACAGGGCCCGTGTGAACTCCGATTGGCTTGAAATTTGGCGTGCTTACATATCTTACTAATACACATCTAGTTCCAAAGCCGCTCGGTCAAATTCCACCTACAACCCCAAAAACTCGATACAAGAAAATTACACTAGAAAGCTTTAAAGACATGAAAGGAAAGCGAGTGGTGAGGATGGTTTGGACATGCGGCCATGGGTAACACACCCTGGACAAGCATACCCACAACACTTAGCACGTTAGTATATAGAGTTGGAGTCATATTATTAATTTGTTAAAATTAAAATAAATTAATTTTGAAAATGGATAAACGAAAATGAGGTTCAAAGTCTAAACTTTTTGTTTCTCTCTCATAAATTTATTGTGATTTTAATTTTAGTTAATCTCTCTTGTCACTATTTATTTTTTCCTATTAATGTAAATAACTCTAAATTTTTCCAACTTCAATTATAACTCTCCCTATCTATTTTATAAATTTGTTTCTATTTATCTCACATCCGTACAACTTCTCCGTCTGTTAATATAAAATTATATAGATACTTTCTAAGTTTTTTTTTCTTTTTTTCTGTCCATATATGTGTAAATATGGATATAAAATTACAGATATTTCTGACCAAAGAAGGTGTTGGGTTTTGTTTGGAGTTTCTATTTGTAATTGTAACCATAACATTTTTGTCGATATTCAAAACACGAGTATTCGATAGGAAAAATTTTACCCTAGGGCGTGCCGGTGCTAAACGAGCAAATTTGAAATTTGAAGACTAGATTACCCTTATCCATTGGAGGCAGCGGCAAATTCCTTCCGCCGCCAGGCACGTGTGGTCGCTCAGCCTCTCTTCCGCACGTGTGCCTCCCGGTGTAAGAAAAAAAAAAACGGAGGGCGCGGATCCGGTACCGGCAGATCAGTAAAACCAACACGTGTCACTCTCACCACTAGAGTTACAGCTGTACGCTGACTGTTGTCGTAAACTCCCACACGCGATTCTGCCACGTTATGCCCGCACTGCGTGAACCCTCACCCTCACCCGCGCGTACCTTTCAAAATTATCTTTCACATAACGTAGGGTCAAAACTCCGCCACCAGAAAAAAAATTGTTATTCTCGAACCAGGGACGTTTATGTAATTTCGGTGAAAAGGTCGTCCATAGGATACGACGACGCTTTGTTTACTTGCCGACGGTCCCACCCGACGAAAGCAGGCCCCAGCAGAGAGGCCACGGAGACGGAGCTGTGACGGTTGTCACATCAAACCGTCTTGTTTGCACAAATGGATGGCGGAGATGGGTTGGATGCGATAAGAGGTGGGCCAAGTTAGAGTTATTAAAATGGGCTGTGAGAATTAGAACCATGCGAAGCTTGTAGTTGTATCGAAACCCAGATGCCAAACCAAAGGCGGAGTGGAGCAGCCTCACACTCACAGAAAGGCAAATTATAGGTGTTCGGCTCCGCTTACTTCCGCCATCAGATTCCCTTCTTTTCTCTCTCTCCGGCCATGAACAATTTTTCCTGAGCAAAAACTAACTGAAATTTCCACTGGCCTTTATATAAATTGAATTTTGAACTAAGATTTCTGTTTCCTCTTTTGGAAATGGTGTCGCTTGAGGATTCTCACTCCAGTTCCAATCGGTTTCCTTTGGGGAGAAGTTGCTACAGCCCATCTTCTACCACTTCCAGTAAAATTAGCAGGAACATTGGGCGTTCTATGCGCACTATTCGCTCCAATTTCTTTCAGGATGATAGTAGCTGCACTTTTAACGGTTCGGTAGCCGGAAAATCGGGCTGCGTCTCTGAGAATCTCACCGATTCTGTCATTGACCTTAGGCTTGGCGAGTTGGCATCGCGTAGCCCTACATGGGCCAAGCAATCGTCTGAACAGGAAGAGGATTTTCTTGAACTTTCTCATGCTTTCAGTGATTTCTCTGCTTGTAGCAGTGATATATCAGGCGAGTTGCAGAGGCTTGCAAGTTTGCCGTCCATGGCAGTTGTCCCTAGAAGAGAAGGGGAAGATGCCGAGCCCGAGCCCTGCTTAGGGTTTCTGCAGAGGGAGAATTTCTCCACCGAGATTATTGAGAGCATTTCGCCGGAAGATCTGCAGCCAACTGTTAAGATCTGCATCGACGGCCTCCAGTCGTCGTCAATTGCAGTCAAGCGATCTGCCGCGGCCAAGCTTAGGCTTCTGGCGAAGAACCGGTCCGACAACCGGGTACTCATTGGGGAGTCCGGCGCCGTCCCTGCTCTAATTCCTCTGCTTCGATCCAGCGATCCATGGACGCAAGAGCATGCTGTAACCGCACTGCTAAATCTCTCACTCCATGAGTCCAATAAGGTTATCATCACAAATGCTGGAGCCATAAAATTGCTGGTTTATGCACTCAAAACTGGTACGGAAACTTCGAAGCAGAATGCGGCGTGTGCTCTAATGAGTCTGGCTTTATTGGAGGAAAACAAGACTTCGATTGGGGTTTGCGGGGCCATCCCACCTCTGGTTTCTTTACTATTGAACGGATCGAATAGGGGAAAAAAGGACGCGCTCACAACGCTCTACAAGCTTTGCTCGATCAAGCCTAACAAGGAGCGGGCTGTCTCTGCCGGAGCTGTGAAGCCATTGGTGGCGCTGGTGGTGGAGCAAGGAACGGGTCTGGCAGAGAAGGCCATGGTGGTTCTGAGTAGCCTGGCTGGGATTCAGGAGGGCAAGGATTCGATTGTGGAAGAGGGGGGAATTGCTGCGCTCGTGGAAGCAATCGAAGATGGGTCGGTGAAAGGGAAAGAGTTTGCGGTATTGACACTCTTGCAATTGTGTGTTGAGAGTGTGAGAAATAGAGGGTTGCTCGTAAGGGAAGGCGGAATTCCACCTCTGGTTGCACTTTCGCAGACTGGAAGCGTTCGAGCAAAGCATAAGGTGATAACTAGAAACTGATTACTCGGCAAATTATTTACTTGATTCTATGAAATGAACACCTTGTTGATATCAATTCGCTAAATTTTGCAGGCGGAAACACTTCTGGGATATTTAAGAGAACCAAGACAAGAAGCATCCTCATCAAGTCCTTAAAAGAGAAGGCCTGATATGGGTTTTTTTTAGAAGGTAATTGTATTATTAAGTAGTGGTATCGTGGTTGCTGTATATAGGGAGTGGTTTTTTTGATGGTTTGTACAGCGTGGTTGAGGATGTTGGAAGAATGATGATCGTAGAATGGAGAAATTAGTGCAGTTAGTGAAGCCAAAAACTGACAGTTAGAGAAGAAGATGTATGATTTTTAACTAGGTTCTGGAATATCCTTTTAATGACATTCCGTTTTGCTAATAGTGGAATATCACTTGGTTTGATTTTCTGGGTTTGGGGATTTGATGAATTCTGATTGGGCTGTGTGTCTCTTGTTGTTTGGGTGACCCAAATTCTGTAGAACTGATTATCTTGTTTTACATATTGGAAGTGGGAATTGCATAAATTTTGTATTTTCAGGTTAATATCTCTCCTCTTCCTTTAATTGCTTGAAACTTCACTCTCACTGGGTTTAAGAAGCTTGGAAAGTTCTAACCTTTCACGAATATGATACAAGAGTAAAAAACAAAAGCAAAAAAAGTCTCCTTCATCCATCTAAAAACATTAAAGACGTTTGAAATTAGGTGGAGGGAAGGAAAAAGATCTGTGAATCCCAGATGATTGAAGATGGCGATGAGATGGGTACTGGTAGGGCGTTGGTTTTGGTAGGAAATATCTCTCTTTCTTGCCTACTTACTACTTGCATTTGCATGAACACGAACATCTTTTCTGGTGAAGGCCAGAGTCTGTGCTGTGGATGCCCCACCATAGATTTAGAAATATTTTGTAGGGTTCGAGTCTCTTACTGCGCTTTGTCGTTTAGGGGTGAATTATTAGCTGGCAGAGCAGGTATGTTTTTGTCCTGCCGCTGCTTGCTGTGCTGTGGATCAATTGCTATTTCCATTCAAAAATCTCCATTAAAAGCAGTTTTTTACATGACCCAAGTGTCGGTGTCCTTCAGCCGAGGGGAATGGAAAGTCCCTCATCTCTTTGTGGCTTGTTTTCATTTTTATATATATTTAAAAAAAAAAAAGATTTCTTTAAACGTTGGTTGAGCTGTATTTGAATGAATCGCCTTCCCTTTTCCTTTTATCTAAAGCAAACAAACGGTTTCACAGTCATGCTTTCCATTCTCTCCTTTTCGTTTCTATTGAGATCATTTAATGGCGTTTCTATCATTTTCTTCATTTCACCAAACCAAATTCTCACAAGGAATAATGAGCATCAGCTATTTTCAGGAAGAAACTGGATTTTGGGCTATACGAACCTTTATCGTCACAAGTTAAACCAAAAAAATAGTAGTAAAACGAGACAATAAAGCTAGAGTTTGCAAATGGGTAAAGTGAATAAGAGCCAGTCACATGCATTATTGTCGTCCACAGTTCATTCCAACTTATTAAAAGTTTCTCATCAGGAACATTAAACGAAGCAATAAGTGTGGTTAAATCAACATCCATGGTTTCTCCTTCACGTAACTTCAAAATCTAAAACGAAAGAAAAGGATCATTGTGAAGCAACTTCCTTCTGGCGTTTGATGTCATCCTTGTGCTTCTTCCCACTCTTGAGCAGCTCTTCGACCTCTTCGAATTGCAAGCTTTTAGTTTCAGGTACCAAGAAGTATATACCAACAAGTCCAAGGAACGAGAATCCAGCAAACAGCAGAAATGTACCAGCAGCCCCAAGAGCCTCCACCAGCGTCAAAAATGTCTGGCTCACTATCAAATTCGACACCCAGTTTGAAACTGCAGCAATTCCTCCTCCAGTTCCTCTGTATCTCAACGGATAAATCTCAGAGTTCAACACCCACGGAACGGTTCCCATTCCGGGTGCGTATGTAATAATGTAAAGCCCCATCACCACCACGGCCAAGAAGCCTATTTTGCTCGGGCAACCCTCCGTGAACCATACTCGGTGCTTCGACCGACACTCGCCCCTCACGTCCTTTGACAATTCCAAACATGCTCCGGGAAGATACTGATACGATGATATTAGCATATGGTTATGACTTATGACATATTAGCTGTGGTTGGAACAAAATGTTAGAGCAATGGGAATGAGAAGGGAAATTGGTGGTTACCTCACTCTTTCCATTGGCACAGAAGCCACATTGTTTCTTTAAACATGACATGCAGTTCCAGGAAGAGGAATCTGGAGCTGAGACATAGGCTGGACAGGTGGTGTTCCTTCCAAAGTGAGTAGATTCCCTGGCGTTGATGGATGGAGCATGGCTAGCTGATTGGAAGAATACTCCGGCCAACACCACAAGGCAAATGATAATCCCGATCATAGAGATGATCATAAGTCGTCTTCTCCCATATCTATCGACCGATATCATGCTGACAACGGACCCAGCAGCATTGAGGAAGGAAGTAACCAGAGAAAGTGCCATGGCTGTCGTATTGGAAGCATATCCAGCAAACTGGATGATGGTTGGGCTGTAGTACATGACAGTGTTGATACCACAGAACTGCTGAGCTACTTGGACGACGATACCAGCAGCGAGCCCTCTTCGGACAACTTGGCTGCTCAAGGCGCCTTTAACTTTCGTAAATATACCACCGTCTCCAACTTTTCCTTCTTCTGCCTTTTCAGCTTCCACAGATTCATGCAACAATCTCATCTCTTCCTCAACTTGATCAGCAGGATATATCCTCTCTAATATGACTCTTGCTTCATCTACCTTGTCCTAAATCACCACGAAAATTCGAATGAGTTAATTCATGATAACCCTTAAAACCATTGGATCAAAATGCTCGAAAAATGGAACCATTCTTTAACGTGTTCATTTGATTCATAATCTCGTTGAAGTTTATCTATAAGAGCCAGTGTAGATAAGATTTTACAAAACCAAGCTTAAGAGGTAGATTATAGAGAAACTGAATCATCAAGGTTTGTTAATACTTAATAATCACGAATGGATATGAGAAACTTCACTATAAACAGTTACATACTCTACTCTTATTTTCAAGTATTACCCGTCTATAAAGCCACCTAGGAGATTCAGGAAGTGATAACATTAGTACAAACTGAACCACGGCTGGCAAACCTGCTACTCCAAGCATCAGACGCCATGTTAACGAGGTCTGCGAAACACATCGGACAAACTTGAATTCAAACGAGAACGCAAAATTCACAATTGTTAACTTCAACCGTCGAAAGGAAGGTCGATTCTACCTTAGTGAAGGCCAGGTTGATTAGATAGGAAAGGAATTGTCCTCCAGTAATCAGCAACCCATTGGTACTAACAAGAGCCCCCCTGACTCTAGCAGGGGAAGCTTCTGATATGTAAAGAGGAGCAGTCATGGATGCCATTCCGACACCGAATCCAACTATAAGCCTCCCGACGATAATGAACCCGGGAAAGGGGGCAACAGCCATGACAATTGCACCGACGAAGAACACAACATCTGCAAGTAAAATCGACTTTTTTCGACCAAATTTATCATTCATCCAGCCACCAATTGCAGCACCCACAATGGCTCCTGCTACAGCCATGCTCACAATGGTTTCCTATAATCAATGAATTAACTAGTGAATAAAAACAGCTTAAGAGAGACATAAACCAGCAATAACTTAGGCCTAAAGATGACTTGCCTGAAGCCATGTTTTCCTGTCAACTTCTTCAAAGTCCTCCCGAATGTAGAGCATAGCCCCAGAGATCACACCTACCAACCAAATTGTAAACGACATTATTGCACTTGTAATCACCTTCCTCATTAAGATTTAGAACAATGGCGCGCCGGGATCGGGAATTACTCACCGGTGTCGTATCCGAACAGAAGTCCTCCGATTCCAGCAGACAGAGCAAGGCGCATAATATAAGGTGTCCTCCATGATGTCTGCCAACATTCTAAGAACTCTGCCTTATCGGCCTTTGCAGTTCCTCCTTCCACCATTTTGAATCAATCTCTTCAAATGATTTTAGAGCTTTTAACTTACTCTTGAGATCTATACTAGATGGGGGAACCTTAATATTCTCAAAAACAACCTGCAGGGAAAAAAACAGGCGAATAGACAACATCAACCCTTTGTATGGAATCTGTAATATCCTTTGTCGAGGATTCAGATTATGTTTGAATCCAAAACTAAAACAGAGTCCTTGAAACCATTTTTAAAAAAAATCAAATCTATCATAATCCATCAGAATGGTAAAATGTAAAAAACAAGGTCTAGAGATCACAAACTGAACAACAACTGAAGAGTAAAAAACAAAAAGGCATCACCTTCACAATGTAGGCTAATTTTCACCCTTCTCTAAAGCTTCAATGCATGTGGATTTTCTCTAATCTTCTCTAAAATGGTAGCTCTCGAGTTCTGATGGAGATTTGTTTCTTTTTATACACAATAAAAAAAAAAGGTGTAAATGTGTAATTTCATTGCTGGGTTATGATTCCTATGATGTGTAGAGACACTTGTGAAGCATTTAATGCGAGAGAATTGAAATTTCCTTGGTGGGATATAATCCCAATATGGAAAATACGATCGGAGTTATCCAAATGGTATCAGAGAAATTATCTAATACGTGTACTAAAATTATATATATTTAACTCAAATCGGATTCATTTGTTGTCTTCTTTACAGACCCAACGAACAAAAAAAGAAACTACATTAACAGAAGCAAGAGAAATTGAATCTTACAGAAATTTGGGAGTTGAGAACGAAGCAGAGGCTTCTGAGTGGGATCACAGAGGACCAAATTCAACTGTCTCCTTGAAAATGTGTGTGATTATCTATAAATATGAGCCAAAAATAGAGATTAAAGAGACTTAAGTGAGGCTAATCACTATTCTCTCGCTTGTTTTCTAATTTTGATCGATGAAAAGACCTTTAAATTCTCATTGAACGGAATGCTTTGTGGAAAGTTTGTTTTTTTGTTTTTGGGTTTTGGTTTTTTTGTTCAATTTCTCAATCAATTCAAAGCTCTCCTTCTTCAACGGGGAGATGATAATGGGAGCGAGAAGGCAGCTACCCTGCTCCTGCTCCGAGAGAGAAGGGAATTTATCTTCGGAATTCTGTTACAGAGAGAGAATTTTACGGTGATTTTGATCAGAAATTTGCCATTACTGTATGAACGTTTGAATTTCTCTGGGTTTTGTGTTTGAATTTGTTTCCTTTTTCACAAATTTTCAAAACTCTTTTTATTATTATTATTATTATTTTGCTTATGCATAAATGGCTTTGTGCTGTTCAGATGTTTTTCTGGGCATAATTTACGGTATGGGAATGGATTTGAAGCGGAGTTACCCATTTCTTCGATGAGAACATCTTCAAAATATTTATTTAATTTTTTCAGTACAAAATATTTATTTATTTACTTCAAAAGAAAATAGAAATATTGTGAGGTTAGAATTATAATATATACATTATGATACTAGCATCTTTAGGTGAATTAAAAATTTATTCAGACTTGTTTTGGTAACATTCTTTGTTTTTTTTTCCTCCCATTTATTATTTTTTGTTTATTGTTTTACTGTGTAATAAAGAAAAATACAACTGTTTTTTTTTTGGTAGTTGTTTATTGTTTCATTTTGTACTTAAAACAATAAATAGAATTATACTTTGTAACTGTTTCATATTTTTGGTTTTCTATCCTTTTAAATTAAAAAAGTAAGAGCTTTATGTGAAAAATAAAAAAATTTTAATTAAATATTCAAATTTGTTATGTTTTATTTGTTTTTTACAAATTTATTAAGCATTTTATAAATTAAAATAATACTTTTATTTATGTTTTTAAATAAAATTAGAAACTATAATAAATAAATAAAAATTTGATTTTGCTGTTTCCAAATTTTTCTACATATTTTGAAAACATTCCTTACGAATGAGAAACAAGAAAAAAAAATAAGCGTAAACGATAATAAATAAATAAAAATTTGATTTTGTCGTTTCCAAATTTCTACATATTTTGAAAACATTACTTAAAAATGAGAAACGAGAACAAAAAAATTACCAAACGCTTATGTTCCTAAAACACTAAAAACACTTCTTAACTTGTTGATCGTCTTGTTGAATTCTCAAATGATTGGCCTCTGGGCTTGTTGATCTTCTAGTTTAATTCTTAGATGATCAAGCTCTTAGTTTGTTGATCTTCTCATTGAATTCTTAGATGACCGGCCTCCGAGCGTGTTGATCTTCTTACTGAATTTTTAGATGATCAACTTATGAGCTTGTTGATCTTCTTGTTGAATTATTAAATGATTAACCTCCTGGCTTTTTGATCTTATTGGATGAATGACCTTTGAGCTATTGAACTTCTTGGACGATCGATTTTGGACTTGGTTATCTTTCTTGGACGATCAACCATTAGGCTTGTTGATCTTATTGGACGATCGACCTACGGGTTTGTTGATCTTCTTTGATGGTTACCTCTAGATTTGTTGATCTTCTTGGATGATCGACTCCTAGCTTGTTGATCTACTTGGTGATCGGCTTCTAGCTTGTTGATCTTCTTTGGTGATTGGCTTATAACTTATTGATCTTCCTTGGTAATTGAACTATGGCTTGTTGATCTTCCTCAACGATCAACCTCCAACTTGTTGACCTTCCTTGGTGATTGTGTTGATCTTCTTTGGTGATTCCTATGATCTTTCTTGCTGATCGGTCTTGATCTTCTTGACGATTAGCCTTTGACTTGTTGATCTCGATGATGGACCTCTAACTTGTTGATTTACCATGATCTTTAGAGGGATTTGATGTTGATCCATTTTGTGGAATCTTTATCCTCCTTGACATGAATTAAATAATGAATGTTCCTTTTTATTTATAGAATCTTTTATGAGTCTCAAGTAGATTTGGGCTTAACTGACTCGTAGGGTTGTTCACGGGTTGGGTTGGGTCTCGTTAAGAGGGGTTTTGGTACCAACCCCAAAATTTTAAGGTTTGGGTTGTCGTTTTTTTTTTAATTATCGCGACGACGGGGAGTTAGGATTAAAACTAAATAGACGGATAAGATTAAGATATAAAATGGGAGAAGATAATATGAAAACCTTAAATGAAAGGCTATAATTAAAGCTAAATGGACGGTTGAAATTGAATATAAAGACCAAAGCGAACATAACTCAACAATAATTGACGTATATCTCCAACCAAAAGGTTGTTAGTTCAATCCCCACCTCGCGTGTTGCACTCAGAAAAAGACTTTGAAAATTTATAAAAGTAAATAATAACGATATGATGCATTATTAAATTAAAAATTTATTATATATAATTATTTTAACATCTTTTTGGCTTTTCTTAAACCAATTGCGTTGGCTTTTCTAAAACCAATTCAATTGTATTCTATCTCCTTAAAAAAAAGTTGGATTGTATTCTATCTAATATAGTATTTGATTTTTTTAATATAAGTTTAAACTGCACGATCTTAACTAAAAATACAAAGGATATTTTTATCGGAGCGAGCATAATTCAGCGATAATTAACATATAGTTCCAATCGAGGTTGTGAGTTCGATTCCAAACCTCTATATATTGTACTAAAAAAAAGACATTTTTCAAAATTTTGAATTTGTACTATTTTTCGTTGAGATTACAGTTTTTTTAATTAATTTTTAGGAGAACTTTTGTAATATTCAAAATAAAAATATAAAAAATTCAAATTTCAAGCCATCTTCTTTAAAACTTGTTTAAAAAAACAATATTTTGGACCTTATTTAATTTGTCCTATTTATTTTTGTCATATATGTAAAATCCCCTAAAAAACTTATAAATCGAATACCTCGTAAAATTGGCTATAAAATTAAAGGTAACTATCCATATTTACTCATTTATTTTTTTCAGCATATTACCTTTTTCTTTTGAGAAACTATTACATTTTCCCTTTATTGTTTTTGTGTCATTAAATAAAAAAATATATAAAGAAAATTAAAATGGTGATATGGAAAACTTTTATGTTTTCATATTGTTGGTACCTCGATCAATCATTCCTATTTTATATTTTTACTTTACGTTTTAAAATTAAAATACCATATTTGTCAAGTCTAGAAAATAATATTTTAAGAATGTAATATATTAAACTATTTATTTTTTTTCTTATTCAATGATTTCATCTCTAAAATATGATAAACATTTGGAATTTCCATAAAATTATCCGATAGTATGACTATATTTTACTTTTGGACTATTTTTGTTTTTTAAAAACGTGGAAATATGTATCTTAATTCTTTAATTTTTATTTTTTTTCAATTTCAGAAGTGGCTTAATTGAAGAAATTTATGATTTTCCTATTTAAAACTAATTTTAATAAATATTTTATTATTTAAAATTAAAATTTAACNAAATAAAATAAAATTACTTTTAAATTTTAATTGAAGTTGTTTCCGAACGGACAATTATAACCCCACCTCAAGGCAGTGCGTAGCCCTAGGCATTTAAGAAACGAAAGGCTGAGATTTATTTCTACAACAAATCCAACGGTTTACAATTTCCAGCCATTCCTTTATATTCATCCCAGACAATTCCTTTTTCCCAAGTTCGTAGCACTCATCTCACTGGCCTCAGCCGTGTTCCTCTCGGTTAGGGTTTTCGCTCAAGAAGTTGGTGAGAAAAACAATTTGTTCTTACGATTGTTTTTCTTCAATTTTAGTTTCTGTTTCGGTAAATGTTTGAATGCGACGGGAAACTTCTGCGAGGAAGTCTCTTACTTGTAGGAAGCAGAGTAGCCATATCTCTGCACATTTCCGAGTAAACGTCGTATAAAAATGCCCAACGGCGTTGATGGTCCTCCTTGTAAGGAGCTCCTCCGCCGTGGGTGGTCTCATATTCCATCGCCTTGTGGAGCAGCGTCGCTGCCATTGCCTCTTGGGACTGGCCATGAGACCTACATTTTTCGTTTTAATTCAATTGTGTTACTGATTTTGAATGTGACGGGGGATTCTAGATCCAATCCCTTTCCAGATTTGGAGCGAACCTGTTTGTGTTTGTATAGTGCCAAGGATAACGTCACAAATTAATTCCGGTTGATGTTGATGGCTCCTTTTGGAGCCTCCGTCGACCGATGGTCTCATATTCCATTGCCTTGTGGAGCAGCGTTGCTGCTTTTACTTCTTGGGACTGGCCATGAGACGCTCATTTTTGTTCAAAACTTTTACATGTTTCAAATGCCAATGATGATATCGCTGTATAAAATACCATCTTTCGGGACTGAATGGCTTTTTAAGCCTTGCTGTCATTCCGCAATTCTGAGGCATCTATTATCTTTGCTTTGATATCCACTCTTATGTCATTCACCCCTGTTTCTTAATTGTTATGTATACAAATTTTGCATGAAATGACATCTTCTTTAGAGTACTATTTCTTATATGATGAAATGTACAGCCGAATGTTGTCGCCTAGATATGTATGCAAACTTTTTTCGCAGATGTAGATCTTGGAACTGGAAATGTAGTCCCAAGACTTGTAGCGGGATGGTTGCTGGTATCATCTGGCTTAATCTACCTTTGATCTTCTCTTTCAGGACAAACTGTGGAAGGATTCAGCATAATATAGATTGTTTTGAAGTTCAATTCCAATATTAAGCTGATCCTAAATCGTTTAAGATCATTCAACTATGTATGACTTATTTTCATATCGGCGATGATATTTGTTCTGGAGTATGATTTTATATGGTTATCAATTTCTTTGAAGTTAAAGGCTTCTTATACCGTTGTAATTCAATGGTATTCAATTCAGATGATATTTTCCTTTAAAGCAAGATGAATCAATGTAGTGGAGTTAAATCACATAATTTATTGTTGGGGGTTAAAATATTTCCAGGTTAGTGTTTCTGAGAAATAGAATACTTTCTACAATGTAATAAGGTGACTGGCAGGCAGTGATTGAACAATTTTGTGGAGTTAAAACAAAGTGCTTTGTATGAAATGAACTCATCTGTACAGAACAGTCTCGTCTCATTTTCATGTCCAAATTGTTACAAATTGTAAGTTCCAGCCCATTGCACTCATATGTTGGCCATTCTACTTGACTAAGCAGTATTCACTTGGTTGTATGGTCCTGTGCTGCCAAGTGCTGTAAGCTATGATATGTAAACTTATTGGGAAAATGCCACATGTAATCTCAGAGTATTATCTTGAAGCCAAAAATTTCGTTTGACCAACAAATTGTAAGCAATCTCAACATTTCTTTCTACTATAGTATGAACTGGCTCAACTCTGAGCTAATAACGAGAATGGTAATGTATTCTACTTTTTCACTCAGATTTGTGACCTTTCTATTCAAAGATACACCAACTTCACAATGTTATCAACTCAGTTTCCTCTTAGTTCAGCAATATAACCTGCATCCTTCAAAATTGGAGTTAATCTGTTAATGGTTCTATAAATCTCCTCGGTTTCTTTGTGAGATTCATCGCTCTTGAAAAAAAAACGGAACTCCCTTTGAATCTCAATTCTACTGTAACCAGGGTCTTTGGTCATTCCTGTTTTCTTCATCATATCTCTAACCTCTGCAACGTTGTCCCACAGCCCAGATGTGGCATAAGCATTTGATAAAACCACATACTTCCCAGAGTTTTCAGCATCCAATGCGAAGTAATTTGCCGCTGCATATTTCATCAAATCTATGTCTTCGTGAACCTTACAACCCCCAACCAAAGCACCCCATATGACAGAATGCTCCTTGCAAGGGGCGTTGAGAACAAAATTATAGGCCTCTTCCAACCTCCCTGCCCGTGCGAGAAGATCCGCCATGGCAGCATAGTGTTGCCCTCTTGGCTCAATTCTGTAGTCTGTCATCATCAATGAAAAATACCTCTGTGCTTCGGACACAAAACCTCCACGGCCACAAGCAGCAAGAACAGCGAGGAAAGTAACATGATTTGGTCTGTAACCTTCATTGATCATACTGTTGAAGGATTCCAAAACTTCAAAGACCCTTCCATGCTGGGCGTATCCAAATATCAAAGCAGTCCATGTAATTACATTCCTATTTGAAGATATGTTAAATACCCTACGCCCATCAGATAAGCTACTGCATTTGAAGTACATATCTACAAGAGCACTAGAAACAACAACATTGTCCCCAATTTGACACTTTATCAGAACTCCATGAGCTCTCTTTCCATGCTCCAAAGATGCTAGAGTAGCACAGGCTTTGAAAACTGATGCAAAGGTATACTGATCAGGCACCATTCCACTTTGTCTCATCTTCAAATAAAACTCCAATCCAACTTCTCCGAGCCCCTTCTGTACATACCCAGCAATCATTGCATTCCATGAAACCAGACTTTTGCCCAGCAATTTCTCATGAAGGATATATGCAGTTCCCAAGTCACCTGATTTGGCATACAAAATCAGTAGTTTGGTCGTCAGATATTCACTGGGTAAATGTCCAACAACAACAATTTGGGCATGGATTCTTTTTCCTTTCATATACTCTTTCCTGAAAATGCATTCTTGTAACAGAAGACAGTAAGTTCTTGAGTGAAATTGCAAGGCCATACAGCACAAAAGTGCAACAGCTTCTGACAATCTCCCCGTGAGACATAGGCCCCTAAAAGTTTTATCCCAGAAGGAGGCATCTTTCTGATGAGGGTTGACCTGAAAGCTGGAATTTCTATAATGAATTGATACTTAAATCAAATCAATGGAGCTACGAAGCAGTAAAATGTAGGCTTATCAATTTAGAGAAAAGAGGCTATCCCCCATAATTAAGATTTATGGGGGGAAAACAGTATATTGTCATTGCCTTCCAATTCTTAACACTCTCTTACATACAATGAACCAGGACATAGAAAAATGCGAGAAATTTAATAACCCAAAACCCTAAAATGCAGAAGAAGCATCGCAATTAAATTTAATCTCAATATCAGCAGCAAGCAGGGAATAATTTAACTTCCAAACAGCAGAATCCTCTATACATACAGTCATGGAAATAAGAAGAGATGAAGAAGGAAAGCTGGAAACCTGGCGGTGCAGTACTCAGATATTTTCCGGCGATGGATGGTCAGGGTCGTAGCGGCTAAAATCGACTTGGTGAAGAGATGAATGGCGCCGGACGAAGGCCGACAACAGAGGCGCATTTGAGCATTTCGATGAGACAGAGCAAATCAGGTTTCAGATGGAAAATTCTGAAGTTGATGTTGCTGGGATTAAAGCGAAGAAAAGGGTAAGAATCGTTTGGATGCGAGTCGAGAGACGAAATTTAGCAACCCTGCGCGGGACAGAAGTGGCTCTGAACCAGTTCTTAGTTCTTACAATGATAAATTGATTGTTCGGTAGAATAAGATGGCTTTCAGAAACAATTTTTTTTAAAAATAAAAATATAGCAGAAATTATAAACAATATTTCATTTTCTTCTATAGTAATTTTTATTTTAATTAATGTTTCTGAACCATCAACAAGACAACAACTAAGTAAAAGTTTATTTATAAAAAAAAAAAAGTAAAACTGAATGGACACATTTTTTAAAGTCTTCTAAAATAATAAATGAAAATATAAAGGAAAACTTTTTTTTCTTTTACAAATAAATTTTAAAATTAAATGATATAAATTAATTCAAAGAAGCTAGTGTGTAAAATAGTTATTAAAAAAATATACTGGGGTTTTTTTTTTCATTTTTCTTTCTTTCTAATTTTTTTAATAGATCTTTTTGCTTTTAGAAAATTGATTGCATTTTTGCAATCATATTACTACCCTTTGTTTTTCTAAGTTTTCCATTCTCATTTCTTCGGTTAATTTATTACATTAAATGGGTTGCATCCAATATCAAACCTAAAACATAATTTTCTCTAATTTTTTCATATATCTCATTTTCAAGTAGTGTGGTCTTAAGGTATAAGCCATTTTTTCTACAGCAAAATGGAAGTGCCCAATTTGGAAACTAAGTTAGGTCAAAAGAAAAGATTATTCTCTTTCTTAAAATTTCCAATCATAAAAGGGCTTCAATTCTCTAGATTATTCCCCTCACAAAACTATACCAAATGTGAAAATAAAATCCTCTAGTACCTATTCCTAATCCCTCTACTAAAAAGATATTACAATTTTGAAAAATAAAAAATAACCGTAAACAAACACATGATCATACAACATCTTCTTTTCTCTCCTTCGCTGAAAGTGTCGTTTTTTCTATAAGGTCAAACCTTTAGCAATGTTATGTAAATAAATGTGTAATCCGATGAACTATGCTTGAATCGACTCCAGTTTCTTAGTTGTGCCATTTGGACGTGCTGCACATAAGATAATCCCACTTTTTAAATACAACGATAATCCATGCATCTGAAAGCCAACATTAGAACAAAAAAAAGAATACGGTTTCTCAGAAATTGAAAAAATCAAATGCAATGCATATATATATATATATATATATATATATATATATATACGTGACGTACATTTAATTTCATCAATCAAATTCAGGGCCGATGATGCTTATAAACACATCCTCCACCATATGTTGCCGACCAGAACAATTGTCCATTTCCGCCATTGGAACTGGACTAATTTTTACCCTGAAATGTGAAGCTCGGTGCATTAACACACACAGATGAAGTTTTGAAAAGAGAGAATATGGAACTTCAAAAATTTTCACTACCTGCAATACTAGTTTGATGCTGTGGATCGGGAGATGGGTTTACAGAAGAATTCATCATCCTCACGAGATGTTTGACGCGATTTAGCCGCAACACTTTGGGTGATCTACTTGAATCATTTTCCCCAATTTGCATATCTGAAAGGTTGCAGCTATGATTCTCAGGCTTACAATTGCAATTTGAATCTTCCACCGAGCCCACCTGCGCTAAAATTTGGTGAATTCCAATTGGCTCACTACTTGTGTGGATAATTGATCGAGCCACGATGTGATTCAATCGCACCCTTCCATGGAGATCTGCAGCTTTTGAGTCCAGAGCTTCAGAACCTATCAGAAGAATTCGGCATTAGAGTCGGAAATTATCCAGGCTAGGGTTGGGAAGATCGTATTTAGATGTTCCGAGTGCTGACCTGAAGATGGAACAATGGCGTCTTGTTGGTGGTTGAAGCCGATGAGCGTAAGGCCATTTCGTTGCTGATCAAGCTCTGCGATGGAAGTATGAGCCTGATGCGAATTGGTTTCCGCCATTTCGAACGGGGGATCTTTGTTCTCAGGCTTCGAGATCTGAGTCTTCGTAGTTGATAGTTTCGTCGGCGTCTTGCGAGGTGCCTCTCTCTCTGTTCCATGCTCATCGACGATCTTCTCTCCCTGTCCCTTACACGGCGTCGTTCTCTTTCCCTCTGCGTTCTGCTCAACTCCGGCCCTTCCCCTAATTCTTCCATCTTCACAACCGATGATGGAGTTTCTGTTTCTCTCTAAACAGGATCGTTAGGAAGACGAAGAACAATCAAGCATCACAAGGTTAAATAATCCAACACGGCTGAGGCATCATCTCCACCAGGAACATTGAATTTGACCGACCAATAAACACACAACATTTAAAATAATTCTGCTCAGAATTTAGGGATATTGGATATAGACAGAGACGAACACCAAGGTTTTCTTATGACAGAATCGAAAAGGATAGAGCTGTCACACAAAATTTACGGAAAATATTTGCCGAATCAACTTTCGACACCTAAACAACAGTTGCTTTTTTGATGTCTCTTAGGACATCCCAACGAAACGCATTGAATCATCGCGTTTTGATAACCCCCCTTTTTTTTTGAGTTTGATTGGAAATTTTCGAGTTAGTTCTGTGACTCTGAAGTTTAACATCAAGAAAATGATAAAACTATATATATATATAGTACTCAGAGGACAAAATTCTTCCCATCAAAGTTAGAAATTTACATAAAGTTTGAAGATTTAGGTTCCTGTCTGTGTCTGTCCTACAAACAGTAAGAGGGCTAACCTCACAATTCTATAAATCTATATGTGTGATTGCTGTTCAATGCTCTAAAATGTCATAAAGAGAAGATCGAGAGCGAAATTTTACAATTCAGGTCTTCATCTCCACGCAGAAGAGGTTGCCATTGCTCTGTTTTTCCATCCAAGGTAGAGGGCCCCATCGGCTTCTTGAACTTTGTAGTTCTCGTTGAACTCCCTCAACAGATTCTGGACGGATCTGGTTACAGAGGAACTCATTGGATATGGACTAAATCCAGCCATCCTCAATCTCATCCTCCACTTCCCAAGGAGTTCGTGACGTTCTACCCTTTCGAACCCCTCACAGGCTACCATGTTCACTATGTCTCGGGCCACGCAGTGCTGCTCCGCCCTGATTCGTTGCTTGTCGTCCCTCGGACGAGCTGCATCTATTGATTCGAACATAGCGGTGTAATAATCTAGTGTCTCTATAAAACGTGAAAGGAATGGGGATGTGTTGGTGTTGGATTCCTGCTCAACAATGGTTACTACTTTCGGTGATAGACTTTTAACCAACCTAAGAAGCCGGTCTCGATGATTCTGTGTGCTCACGCTCTCATCTGGCATGTGGTGCAAGGCGTATGGAAAATTTACTGCCAACGCTTCTCCAGGTCGTATTCTAAGATTACTGCGTTCGACCTCGCAACCAGACATTGCAGCAGCATGAAATTCAAAGCAAATTCCATTCGACTCGGCCAGCTGTGATAGCCTCCGTCCTACAATTTGAAGCCCCCCTCCCCGAGCATGTGCTGATTGGGAATCATCCACGCCTGTAATTCGAAGAAGAACTGGTGGTCCGCCAGGCCGATTGGAAAGATCCTGGATGAAAGGTATCCACTGACTACCTTGTGCAATTTGGAAATCAATAATGTGGATTATGGGTTCATTCGCCATGGCCTCCCAAATGACAACATTTGCAGAAGTGTATGCAAATTTGAAGTATGGGCAGATCTGGAATAAAATAGACATATAGGACATGAGTTCAGAGCTTGTTGGCTCATCGCACTTAAGGGCCTTGTATATTGCACTCCCAGATCGTTCCAACCTTGCTCTAAGCCCTTCCAACAAGTAAGCTCCCAACCTCTGGGCTGGATCACCGGAGACCGAAACCATCTGCCCTAAAACATCCATAAACAATGTTGCCACATTTATATCAGCCTCATGAATTGCTTGGGCACAAGTGATAAGTGTGTCCTGAAGATTCAGTCTTGGAATCATCTCGACCATTTTATTCCAGTTCCACCTTGCCACTGATGCATCTCGATGCGCGCCGCCCCTGAAAGAACAGTAGCAGCTATCCTCAATATCAGATTCAGGACCCAGTAGAGAAATCTCTAATTCCTTCAGCCTGTGCTTTAATTCATTGTCATCATCAGTTACAGAGCATCCACTTTGTGGTGATCCGCATGTGTTGTCGAAGGAATTATGTTGATCCGAAGAGCACGATTGAGAAACTTGAGGTGAGAAGGGGCTCCTGGAAGACAGAACACTAACAGCAGAAGGGGAATTACAGGCACTAAGATCAGCAGTAGCCGGGAATGATTCCAGAGTAAAGAACTGTTTCTTACAGGAAGAAAAGTTAATACTGTTTCCCTGACTGCCTGTGTCAGGACAGACATTGTTTTCCAATACGTGAAAATGCGATAAACAGTAGGGATCTATCTCTTGCACAGACTGGTGATACATTTCATGGATGCCAGATGAAGCCTGGCGATTCTGAGATGCTTGCATTAATAATAAGAAATAAGCGGATGGCCACCCAGTACTTGGTTTGATGGAGTCTAGTCCAAGATATGCTGTATCATTCAGTAGTAAGTCTATATGAACTCCTGGGACTCATAATTCTAATATGAGCAGCACTCCTGATGCTTTCTTTACTGGTAAATTGTGGAAATGAAGAATCCCCAATCTGCATAGAACAAATAAAAAATCATTAACACAGAATTAAAATTGTCAAACCAAACAATTAGAGGCAAATCAAAAGGAAAAAAAACGCTCAATACAGGAATCCAAGATTGATGCCATGTATAAAATAAACTAGCCCCTGTATTCTACAGACGCATGAATACAATTACAAATACGGGGTCAACAACACAAATTCTTAGAAGCTAGTTCCTCCAAATTGAGCCATAATACCACATGTCTACATAGTCGCTGCATACATTCAAAGATCTAAACAAGAGAAAGTTGTTGAAGTTTTCAGTATTTCCTTAAAAATACCCAAAAAGAAAAAACATTGTGCTTACTAAAACTAAATAAAAGATAAAAGAGTTCCTTCATTTCAACCACTATACGGCAAAATGAATCACATCACAGATATTTGGATAATCAGTGCAATGTTTTTCACTCGAAACACTAGTTCTCCACAGAACACCATAATGATCAAGGTCAGCCAACAAGAATAATACGCATAATCCTCCATGAAATGGCCCCGACAGAAAAGAAAGTAACAAAAATAATTTGTTAAGCCGGTTCTCAAATCAATTACAATAGCAGAAGAGAGAACATTGATTTCTTTGATTTCAGTTTTACAAGCTCAAAAAGCCCAAAATCCTCGTCAATAGGTAGTACTACTTTGAAGCCAGT